TCAAGTGAATCTCAATCGGGATTCAAGTGAATCTCAATCGGGATTCAAGTGAATCCCAATCGGGATTCAAGTGAATCCCAATCGGGATTCAAGTGAATCCCAATCGGGATTCGAGTGAATCCCAATCGGGATTCAAGTGAATTCCAAGTGGGATCGAGTGAATCCAAAGTGGGATTCAAGTGAATTCCAAATGCGGGATTCGAGAGATGTTGGGATAATTTTTGATTCGAATAATTGTCTGGAAATATCAAGAATAGTTCTTTAAGCGAGTATTAAGCGGGATTCACTTGAATCCCGATTGGGATTTACTTGAATTCGAGTGATTCGAGTGAATCCCAATCGGGATTCAAGTGAATCCCAATCGGGATTCAAGTGAATCCCAATCGGGATTCAAGTCAATCCCAATCCGGATTCAAGTGAATCCCAATCCGGATTCAAGTGAATCCCAATCGGGATTCAAGTGAATCCCAATCGGGATTCAAGTGAATCCCAATCGGGATTCAAGTGAATCCCAATCGGGATTCAAGTGAATCCCAATCGGGATTCAAGTGAATCCCAATCGGGATTCAAGTGAATCCCAATCCGGATTCAAGTGAATCCCAATCCGGATTCAAGTGAATCCCAATCGGGATTCAAGTGAATCCCAATTGGGATTCAAGTGAATCCCAATCGGGATTCAAGTGAATCCCAATCGGGATTTAAGTGAATCCCAATCGGGGGATTCAAGGGATTATCGATTAATTGTTGGGATAATTTTGTGATTCAAATAATTGTATAATAGTTCATTAAGCGAGTATTCAAGCAACCATTCCTTCAGCGTAACTCTTTTGCTGCTGGGAAAATTGTCTCAGTCGTGGTTGCATTAGTAGATCGAATGATTTAAACTTCAGGATGATTGGAAAACCTAGATTGGTAGTATATGTTGCTAGAGACATTGTCTTAGTCGTAGTGAAACTGGTACACGGCGAATGAGAACGAACCAAATTTGAGTTTAGTTAACTCATAAATCACATAAAGTGCAGAAAGTCAGCAATGAGTAAATTTGCCTCATGTTTTCCAGGTTTGCCCAGGAAAAGTAAAGATTGGATTCACTCAGTCTATTGGTACTTCTCCTAGACTGAGTAAAATTGCCGTCAATTTTCCTCAATTTTCCTCATTTTCCGGCAGATTTTTGAGGTTTTCCACCATGAGGCAAATTTACTCATCACTACGTACCTATACTTTTGGCGATTATATGAGTGAACTAAACCCAAATTTGGGTCGCCGTGTAGTTCATAGGATCTGAAATCGATGATGAAATTTGAAGTTATCCATGAAATTCGATCTTAATTAATGCGCTTAGACATCATGAATCATGTATGACTGTGATTCTGGTAGTGCAAGGTCTGCTTTATCTCGTTGTTCATGCGCTGGTGAAAAGCAAAAGGACAGTTTAAATAGCATGGTTCGTCCCAATTTTAAGAGTCGTAGAAATTATAAATCATTTGTGTTTATAAGCCCCAATATCATGCTTCAGAATGAGCAACAGAAAGAATTAATTGCATCCTTTGACAAAGATGCTTGTCAAAACATATTGTGGCACCAAAGAGTAAGAGTAACAAAATATTCATTTAACTTATTTAAAGTTTTGCGTAAATCTAGTTTTGCGTAGAGGTTCTTAAAATACACGAAAATAGTTTATTTAATTTTAGTGTTCAGCGATGAACAACAAGGAGATACATACGTTACGATCATCGTAAACACCAAAATGGCTGAAGAATATTTTTGTATCAATCTATGACGATTTTATTCAGTCAATCATACGCGGAGAACCAAAACTACCCAACGGTTGAGTACTTTAAACTTACTTTTGAGATGATGCCTCTCACTTGCTCTCTTGTTGTTGTCAAAAACGAAAAGAGCAAAGAACCCAAAGTTGAGTTCCATTCACCCAACTCGACAGTTGCGTGAAAATTAAAATTGAGTAAGTTGTGTAAAATTCAATATTAAGTTGTTTGAACTTGACGTTGAGTGAAAACAACTTAAAAGTAAGTAATCCTGTTTACATACGAGTGATTTTTTTTATCTAGTTCGTTTTATTTATAAGGCTCAATTGCGTTAAGCTGTACGGAGTCGATAATTCATTGTTCTTTGTTTGTAACAAAATTCACTTAATTCTATGTCTAGTAGGAGTTGGGCCGAATACTCGCGGCTTACTCGAGGTTAGAGGGGTACATTGTCGAAGGATAGGAAAAGGGGAGGAGCTTGGGGTAGGGTTTCGTTGTCTCATCAGAGCGATATCGCCAGTATTCATGCGAGTGAATGACAACAACTCAACATTGAGTAGGCACACGGAACTGCCTGAACCTGGGTGAAAAGAACTCAAAATTAGGTACTTTTTTCTTTCCGTGTACGAGGAGAGCTGCTTATCAAAAATTTGATTCCAATAAATCCCAATATGTTTTGAAAGAAATCGTAACGGGGAATCACATTAAGTTCAATTAAATCCTTCGCATTGAATATTCAGAGCGATCTACTACACAATTGCCGATGCAAGTTAGCCACAACGGCATAACAGTTTCACATTCGTGCTTGACTTCATAGCCGAGTAGCATCTACGTATCGCAACGTCTAAACGTGACGGTGGGATTCTGGCGTACATTATTAAAGGTATTTAAAAAAAACCTAAATGAGCGGATAAATTAACACTCCAAATGAAATGGACACGCGATTAAAAAGCAAAAAAAACGAGCTCTCGCTTCGATGAATTGACGATTAGGAGAAAATTTGTATCTTTCACCAACGAGCGACGACCAAGACGACGACGGAGGAGGAATCGAATCGGAACGGTTTGATTCGTCTCGCTGTGGCTGTGAGACTGTGAAAAGGGTATTCATTTTCCAAAGTGTCTCACTTACCAACGACGATGACGACGACGACGACGACGAAGGGAATCTTCAGAGGAGCGTGAAGCGTTGAAAAGGAAAGCGGAAATTGGATCTAAATCGAAACATAAATGTGCGTTCGATGAGAGGGGATTAAGACTTTCGATTTTTCCCCGTTTTACTCGACCACCGCTCCGAATCGGTCTGTCACGAAGCCCAAGCAGAAACACCAATTAGACTCGGAAAGAATGCAGGTACCCCGCCTGTGAGTGATTGGAAGAATTAATTGGATTCATCTTCATCTCGGGGAACGTGGGTCTTTTGAGAGATTGGAACCGGTTTCGCAAATGCGACGGGTGCAGCAACCACTCGAAGACAAATTTGTCCACGCGAAGAGTGCTCCGGCCTCTTCTCAATTTTGATTGTGGCCACAATTTACCATGTATTATACTTGAGGCGAGAGCGATACACCCACCTTCGGGTAGGTTGAAGTTTGCCATCGTTGGTCTTCCGACGATGGATAATTTCGATTATTGACTGCATCTTGTTTAAGGCAGCTTTTTAAGATGTCGAAAGGCCAAGGGAATTGCCCGAGCTCGACAAAGTGTTGTCATCGCGTCGGCTACCGTAAACAACAGATGAGATCAGATCACGGGGAATTGATGATTCAACTGCTCTGCGAAGATTAGCCACGTCCGTCATTAGCATGCGTAATGACTTCATCACTTTTGCGAGGCTAGTAGTCAATGGTCCGAGATAAAAAAAAAAAAAAACAGTCACTTGATTCGTCATGAATGACTGATGAAATGTTGGTCCTGGATGTTTCCTGATAAGTTCAATTCCATTCGACATTTTATCCCTTCGATCTTTTGTCCAATCAAGCTTTTGTCTGTCGACCTTTTCTCGAGTCAGGAAAGTGAAATTTCCCCCCAAAAGTACTAATGTCGATTTGATTATTTTCTTGAACTTGTCCTACGATCATCTGTTTAAGTGTATGGAGTTTAATCAAGTCGTGCTTAAGGTAATCCTTTTCTACAAAGAGTGGCATTTCAACCATCATCATCATCACCATCATTAAAAGTCACTAGATTTTTCTTTAAAAAGTTGTCGTGATCATTCCAAGACATGTCAATTCTCATTCGTGACCCCAAGCGTGCAAGCGAGACCACAAAATCGTTGATTGTGCATTTACACGTATATTAGCGAGTCTCACTTCTGGTTCCATCATTCATCCACCCCAAACCACGTTGTTCCTCCATTTGTTTGTCACATAACTGTGCGACCCGCATCAACGCGTAGATCGTGACTGATCCTCTCCTCGTCCGCTCGTCGTGTCGTTCCATCCGTCCGTCGTCATCGTCGTGTCACCCGGTTCCAAAATTAGAAATGATGTGACTAATTGGAATTCAGAATTTGAAGTTAAACGACCGCCGGACTGCTGCGTGTGACATTAAGGCAGTTTGACATCAAGGTGACATTTCTGACTTCTGCAGAAAAGTCTTGCAATCGAGGAAATTGTTTCCCACTGTTCGATCGTAGCAGTCTTTGCGGGAATCATTCTCGGCTTTATTCGGGTAAACTTGATGAAATTTAAACTCACGATCTTCTCCAGGGACCAGGGGCTTCGTTTGCATGTGAATGACTGAGTTGAAACCAACACATGTTGGTCAGGCAGGCAGAGACTAAACAAATATGCTCGCCAGATGCATTGCAGGCGGCAGCAGAGCAGCGTTTCATTTCTGAAGTGTTTAATGTTTTGCATTCTTTCGTCTGCGGCTAGGCTGCAGCAGGCCCTAAGCCGCCCGGTGTGGTGGCGGCCCATGGGAACTCTGCACATGGTGGAATTCAAGAACGTTTTCATTTACGAAACATTCCGGCAGAATGTGTTCCGCTGCCTTGCTAATAATTACTCCCTGGGATGAACTAGTTGGAACCATATTTCACGCCATAATCCCACCGCTCTCGAAGTGGGGGGTTCTGAACCATGAAATTGGAGAAGTTGGAATGCACTACGCCAGATTCACGCCAGCAGCAGTGTAGTAGTAGGCGTTGCGGTCATTTGTTTCCCCATAGAGAACTGAGGTCGCATTTCCCAGCGGAGAGTCAGTAATTGGCTACTTGGATCATTTCGGGTTCTTACGGCAGGGTCTCTATGGTGATGGTGGCATCGGCGGCGGTGGCAATAAACAGTGAGGTCGAACCGATCACGTTTAGGGTTGATTGCTGGTGTGTAGAATGGCACGTACCGGACCGAGTCGTGTGCTGCGCGGACATGGTTGTTCCCTTTTGGATCGCAAGCTGAAAAAGCAAACAAAATGAAAAACAAGTGAACGTTTATGCATAATTTCAGTAATTAAGATAAATGATGGTGGTGGTGTTGAATAAAACGTTTAGGTTTTCCGTTCATTCACGTGCGCATGCTTTGATCCGGTTGAGCATAATTGAATGGAATGAGCCGGAGTGAAACGAGATTTTGTACGATTTTCAGTTACGAAATGTGAGTTACGGTATTCAATTAGCTTAGAAATTACATTTGTGAAAGTGTCATCATCATCAACGTGATGATTTTTTTCATATCTTGAAAATTTGAAAGCTTGTATATGGTGATGAACATCTTGAACAGTACGGAGACCCTATTAAAGGGTTACCAATAATCCGGGCAATCAGAAACCTATTGGTGTAGTTGAAAGCGAAACTACCAAAGTCTTTATAGTAAGTCCTTAGCAACGCTATTTATATCAAGTAACAAGTCGATAAAAACTTTCATTCCAATTGTAACACTCCACAAGATCAGTCCAATGTAACAATTTTACCCGTTTCCAAACCACTGCTGTTTATTTGCTCTCAAGAGGTTTTGGACCTAATCCGCGACAAGAATGGAGTTGGAGAACGTCTAGGCGAAGAAGTCAAAATCCTCGCAAACTTCAAGATGATGGAAGAAACGTCGATCAAGGAACATCTCAACATCTTTGGTGAGCTCATTCGGCAACTCAAGTCTGCTGGTGCGAAGCTTGAGGAAGGAGAAATGGTCTCGTAGCTTTTTGTGACCCTGCCTGAATACTATGATCCCCTGGTAACTGCGTTGGAGAATCTGGGTGAAGACCAGCTGACTCTAGATGTGGTTCGTGAACGTTTGATGGCCGAAGAACTGAAGAAAACCGACCGGATGGTGCATACTGGTAAAGCAAAACCGGCTTCCTTCGCTGGATTCAAGCAGAAGCCCAAGAAATTCATGAGAATGTGCCATAGGTGCCACAAGAAGGGCCATAGGCCATGGGTTGCCGGGTCAAGCTGCAAGCAGAAGCCAACATCCTAGCTGGGAACAAAGCTGTTGCATTCATGGTTGATAAGAATAAGTCTGCGGATGCCAGCCACAGCAAAGTTACGTTCAAGCTCGATTCCGGGGCTAGTCATCACTTGGTGAATGACAAGAAAGTGTTCGAGTCACTAGGAAGGAGTAGATCGGAGTGGAACTGATTAAAATGGACCCGGATATGTTGGCTACTTGTTTGAAACGACTGGTATTCAAGATCTGGGATTGAAAAAAATCATTTAATCATTTCGTAGATTGAATCTGTTTCCGAAATTCGGTGCAATTCCTTTCCGAGAATCCCGTCCAATCTCTAGATACGGTTGAATCTCTTCCCATAATCGGTTGCTTCCCCTTTTGGGATTCGAATAAATCCCTTCTTTGGATTCATAGTAATTTTTCCAGGGGTTCACTTGATTCCCTTCTCATCCCAAAATTCGGTTGCTTCCATTCTCGAGATAACTGTTTTTTTTAATCAATTTATTTGATAAGGCTCAACCGAATTAACTTTACAGAGCCGAGGATTCTTGTTCACTATACAATACATTTTAAAACTATAGTCAAACGGTACAACACAATATACATTTTATCTACCGCTATCCAATAAGCCTCCTCCACCAGAACAGGACGGCCGCTTCCAGTGATTTAATTGTATGGCAGATTCGCCAACAGGGGTCAGAGCGCTTCCATTGCAGCAATGGACGCAAAACGTGGTCAGCACTCACACATTCATCACGAAGCGGTTGCTTTCCAAAGTCGACGACGCATCAACTGAAAGAACTGCTGATGAAGAACAATGAGGAGGACCACACAATGGTTGCTGCCGAGTAAACAGACGATCGCGTGACACACATTGAGAGTGGTCTGCTTCTGTCGACAGCCGAGTGAACACTGTTCTCGGGATTACGTTGAATGCTATCTTGGGATTCGATGAAATTCTTTCCTGGGATTCGCTTAAGTTCTCGTCCCGAATTTCGGTTGAATCCCTTCCCGGAATTCGGTAGAGATTTGGTGCAGATTCGGGATTGTTAGTCTCATCTTCATATTCGGTGGAATTCCTCGCCGGGATTTGTTTGATTTTCGACCCGGTAGAACTTCTTTTCGGAATTCTGTTGAGTCCCCTTCTCGGGATTCGGATGAATCTCGCCCAGAAATTCGCTTGGTTCCCTTTTTCGGAATTCGGTTGAATGCTAGTTTCTCAAGATTCGGTTAATTTCCTTCAAAGGTTCTTGGTGCATCTCTTCCTCGGTGGGATTTCTTATCGGGATTTGATTGATTTTTAATTCGGTTTGATCTCTTCCCGCGATTGAATTCTCGTAATTCGATTCAATCCCGTTAATCTCATTCTGAGATTCGATGGAGGCCCTTATTACGAGTGTCACTTCACGGTGATAAGAAAGTGATACTCATAATAAGAGCTGTGATTACCGTACAAATCAAATGGGAATCACTTCACCGTGACGACAAGTGACAAGTTTTCACCGTGAAGTGACATCCGTAATAAGCCCCGTTGTCACTTCACTGTGAAGTGACATCGGTAATAAGGGCCGGAATCTCCCACCGGGATTTGATTGATTTTCAATCCAGTTGAATCTCTTCTTGGGAATACGCTGAGTTCTCTTCCTGGTATTCAGTTGAATCTATTCCCGAAATTCGGTTGCTTTCTTGCTCGGGATTCGTTTAAGTCTCTTCCTGGGATGTGCAGTGTCTTACAGCGTTTCGATTTTGAATCTTTTCCCATGATTCGATTGATTTCCTCAGGATACCTCCTACCTTTTCTCGATTTCCCTGGGCATAGAGTATCATTGTGCTTGCCACACAGTATGCAAATTCATAGTATTGGCATCGGAAGTTCTCAATTTATAACTGTGGAAGTGCATTTAGAAAACTTAGTTGAGAGCACACAAAAAGCTAATATTTGATAAGCTTGAAATGCGAAAAAGAATAAGGAGACCTCCTCAGGTTTCGATAGAATCCCTTCACGGGATTAGGTTTCCAAGGAACACAAATTCATAGAATTATGTCGAGTAAACTGCTTTACAACCAACTGTTATAGAACATGTCAAGCTGAACATTGCATTAAGACAGGTAGATTGAGGTTAAGGCGACGCCACTGATTCGACTAAATCCTATCCCGGGATTCATTTGAATCCCTTTTCAGGGTTTGGTTCCTGGGATTGGTGTTGGATTCCGTGTTGGTATTTGATTGATTTTGGCTTTAGTTGAATCGCTTCTCAAGATTCGGTTGAATCTCTTGCTGGGATTCCAGTGCATCCCTTCCTGAGACTCGGTGGAATGACTTATCAGAATTGCATTAATTTTGGATTCGGTTGAATTTTCTTCCAGGGTTTCAGCAGAATCCCATTCCCTGATGAATACCTTCTCAGGTTAGGGTTGAATCTCATCCTGACATTCGGTTGTATTCCATGTCGGGATTCGGTTGAATTCTATTTCGGATTTCATAATCCTAGATTCACTTGTCCCTTTTCTGGGATTCTGTAGATTTAATTTGCATTCGATTGAATCCCCTGCAAACATTATCGGAATTTCGTTGAATGCCTTTCCCGAGAGTCGAATTATTTCTGGCACGGTATTCGATGAAATCTCTTACTGGAGTTTTATTGAATTCTCGGGAATCAGTTTGTCTTCTTTTGGAGGAGAATCAAACCACTGTGACCAGTAATTAGAATACACACCTTCTCTAATTTAAGTGAGTTTCTGTTGGAATCCTCTAAATTCTTCAAACGATTCCCTGATTACAGGTCCAATTCAGAAAACTTTTAATAAATATAATTTATTTTCTTATCATTACAGGTTTGTGAGGACACAGTTACCGAAAATTATTTTAATTGCGGATGAACCCAACGCTTAACAGATGACCTTTTGTTACAATACTGTCAGGTAAAATGAAATTCTTTTATAACTCCTGATGATTCACTGATTACTCGTAGGCAATAGCAAACAGCACTGCACTGTGCTTGCAAATATGGTAAAATTTTCTTTGAACCTGACAGAACTTCTATGAAATGGAAGTAAGATGTTTTAATGTCGCTGTAATTGCTACGAAATGTAGCTTTCACAACCTTCGTAGAGCTTAATAGCTTCGGAGAATGGCGTTTGGATTTAATGCGTTGCAGGTGTTATAGGCCGAAAAAACAGCAGTTTTTTGATAATTCCACTGATTGAAAAGGATAGAGCAGCTAGCAGCAAGCAAATGTAAACAAACAAACATACTGATAACTGTGCCCTTCGCAGAGATAATCCTCACATAAGTGCGGAAGCATAAATTGACGAGAATGCGTAAAATCCCTTATCTTTTTTATTTAATGGATTAATTTGATCGGAATTAATCCATGGAACCTTCCAAGTGGATAATCTTCTTGGTTGTAAGTTATAGCTGGTAACGACAATTTGAATAAGGGTGCCTGAAAAAAAACTTGTTATTACATAGTGCACATTTTGTAGTGAAATTTTAACGAAGATTTATGTCGTTCTCAATTCATCCCGTGACAATATTTAACATGTAACAAACTGTGAATACCGTTTGAAATATTTCAACGACAATGACCATGCATAGTTTTATACTGTACTTTGAATTTGTCCCACCATCGTCACCCCAACCAGTGCTGATAAAACTAATTTCTTCTATACTCAAATTAGCTGAAAATCGAGACAACCTTAAAAGATAAACCAACTACCGTTTTCTTGATCAAGGCTACCGCTGAGCAGAGATGCCAGATTTACAGTCTGTGAATGAATATACCAGAATTTTTATTTTTGTCGAAGGCATTTACAGATTTTTGGAAGTAGTAAATTTAATTACATTTTTGCATTACATTTTAAAATCTATAACAATCGAATTTTTTTATTTATCAATTATCCGAAAGATCTGCCAAATATCTAATTGACATCACTATAAATCAGTTTTATGTGAGCCGGGCATTTAACACATCTACTTAACAAGGCTGATGGAACAGTTGTTGTTGTT